GCCCTGGACGCCCCTTCGGGCAGCAGGACGCCTTACAGCAGAGGAGCTGGGGGCAGCGGAGGGGTTTGAGCTCTGCGCTCGGGAGGCCGCACGGTGGGAAGCGTCTGCCTGGTGAGAGGGGCTCTGGAGCGTTCTATCTGTCCTCACTTGTGGGGCTGCCCGCCCTCCCCACGGGTTCCAGGGTGGCGGAGGCTCAGAAGAGCTCTCGGGGCTTCTGGTGGCAACTCACCACCACCCCGATCCTCGGTGTCAGCCTCACGGTGGGAGCTTCCCACGGGGCCAGGGGGGCAGGAGCTGGGGGGGGTTGCCATGCCCCGGGCAGGCTGAGAGCCGAGGGCCCTCCGGCCTGTATGCACGCTGGGCTGCATCTCGAGGCAGCTGCATCCTGGTTCTGCTTGGGGGGGGGGGGGCCCTGTACAGACAGACAGAGCCGGTGCCAACACCCCACCGTCGTCTGGGGGTGCCTGCCGGGGTATCCTGGGGCCTTCTCTGCCTGAGGCCTGTGAGGTGTGGCTGTGGGACCCCAGACTGGGTCTCACACCCTCATCTGGAAAAGGGGTCTGAGAATTGCCTCTTGAGGGTGAGAGACTGTCCCCTGGAGAGAAATGCCTGGCCTGGGCACGGCGGCCCCGGGGCCGCTCTCCCCTGCACTGCTCTGGCCGCCGCCGCCGCCCCATTCCACTTCCCGCTTGGTCGTGCAGCGCGAATCGCTTTTACCGGGAGTGCAGCCGGGGTCGTCCTCAGGTCGGTGCCCCTTTGTGTCTGTGCGTGGCCATTGTTGGTGCCCCTGCCCTCCGTTCCTCTCCCCGTCTCTGACGCCCTCCCGCTTCAGACCTGCATTCTCTACGCCGTCCATTGAAGTGGCTCCTGCTTGTCTCCCAGCCCCCCCCCCCACTTGCTCTGTGGACGGCAGGAGGCGGATCAAATGCGGGCGCGACTCTCTCTCCGACTGGAGCAGCTGCCTGCTGCTGCCGGAACAGAGATCAGCTCGTGGTATTGAACGTCCCTGCAGTCGGGCTCCTAATTGCTCGTCCAGCCTTCGCTGCCCCAGACACAGGACCCCGCCGATCGGGGCTGCTGATTCCCAGTCACTGAGGGAAGCAGGCGCTGAGAAGTAAGAGGCCGCCAGCACAGCAGACGGCACTGTGCTAAATGTCCTCCCGGCCGACCACAGTCCGCAACAGCCCTTGCCTTCCTCCTGGCCTGGTCTGTGTCCTTCCCACCCACGTGCTTTGCCGTAGGTGACCTGGGGGGCCGGCATGGCTGCTCCTGCTGTCCTGGCGTGGTGACCAGTTACGCCCCGCGGGCCAGTGGGCACAGGGTGGCGAATGGGCCCCGTGCCTATGCGGAGCTCGGGCTGGGCTCACACGAGTCCGTGGAGCCTGCTTGTCACTTCATGGGGGGGGTTCCTGCTGCCGTTGCCTCTCGTCACCTGGCCTGTGCGGCCGTGACACTGGGATGTGGGATTCCGCCCTGTGCTTGGGGAGCCCTGGGTGTGGAGCACACTGGCCCCAGGTGCAGCTCGTGCTGGCAGGAGTGGGGTGGGCGCCCAGGGACGGAAGGGCGAGCACCTTGGCGTGGGTGCAGGCGGGAACCAGGGCAGGGCCCCTGGATCAGGTGGGGGATCGCCCCCCAGTGGAGGCTCTGGCACAAGGAGGCCGGTGGGACTGGGCCGCAGGCCAGCAGTGGGCCTGTGGTCAGCTGCCCCCCCCGCCCCCCACTGGGTCTCTCCCTTGAGCCTCTGCCTGGGCGCGCACGTGGGGGCAGGGCGCGCGCAGGGGCCGCGGCGCCGTGTTGCTTTCCCTCACACTGCAGCTCAGCTTGAAGTGCCCGCGCCTGTCCAAGTGCCCATGGCCTGTCCCCGACGAGACCATCTTCGGGCTTTCTCCACAGCTCCTTGCCTGTGGCTTCCTCGGCCACAGGTGACATCTAGGGGCTCCTCCAGGGTGAGCCGGTGGGTGGGGACAGGGAACCCGAGGGGCGGGGTCAACCTCAGGGTCCTGGCCAGACGCGTGGCCACGGGCAGTAGCTCTTCCAGGGCTGCTGCGTGGCCGTCCCTGCAGGCGCTGGAGCGTTGCGGTGTCGGAGGGACTGTGCCTGCTGACCCGTGTTGTCGCCGACACTCGGGGACGGGGTGGGCTGCCAGGTGCTGCTGTCCGGTCACGAGGGGGCAGAGCCACATCCTCCGGCGAGTATGTGGGCGTTTTGATGCAGGAGCTGGGTCCCCGAAAGCACGGAAGCGAACCCCAAGCTTCTCATTTGTGCGAAAGGACGTGGATTTTTCACGTGCAGCGGCCTGTCCTTTAATTGAACGCCACGCGGCAGCGGCTGGGGGTGGACGGCATCGCAGGGAGCGCCGCGCAGTTAGGTGGGGGGCGGCCGACGGGGCCGGGCTGCCTTCCCCGCTGTTGGCTCGGAAACGCCAGTTTCCCCAGAAGCGTTTGGGTGTGTGTCTGGATTTCCTGTCAGTGAGAAGTGCTGGTCCCTGCACGTCCTCCTCTGTGATGCTCTATCGGCTGCTCTCGTGCCTTTGGCCTCCAGGAGAACTCAGGGTCAACCCACCAGATTTCAGACACGTTCATAAACCCTGTTGGAACTTGGGTTGGCTTTGCATTGGATTAAAACATGTTTTTTAGAGTCACAGCAGACAGCTTTACGACTCTGGGTCTCAGATCCAGGAACGCGTCGTAGCTTTTATAGCCGACGTGTCTCTTTGGTCCGTTCTCTTCCCTTGCTGTCACTGTCCTGCCCCGTCACCTCTGCAGCGGGCTCCTTGCTACCACGTGGGCCCCAGCCGCCTGTACTGTGGCCAAGCCCTGGCGGGAGCTGTCCCTGGGCTGGGGACTCCCCTTGGCTCCGTAGACTCTCCTCGGCTGTGGGTCTCACCTCGGTCGCCACTTCCTCATGGAGACCTTTCTAACTGCGCCGCCTTTGTGTCTAAGGGTCTCAGTACAGCCCCCGGGTTTCTTCACAGGCTGTTGCCTGTGACGCTTTGCGTTCGCCTCTCTTGGGGGCTTTTGGACGTGCTCCTCTCCGGCCTCCTTGTGGACCTCAGAGCCTGGGTCCTGCGGTCTGCCGGCCTCTCCGCTGGCTCTGCCTCCCTCTCTCCGTTGGCTTCCCCCTGGGGCTGGCCTTGCGTTCGGTGGCTGTAGCAGCCCCCAGTCTCACTCCTGACCCGAGCACTTTTCAGAGCAAGCGACAGAGGGCTCTCTCGGAGAGCCAGGCGGCCAGGCCAGTTCCGTCCTCTTCTCAGTGGCCCGGAGAGGGTTGGCTTGTCGCTTAATCAGTTACCGGTGCGGACGGGGCTCAGCTCTACAGCGGCCACTCTGGCCCACCTTCGTTCCCTGGGAGCTGCCCTCCCTCCCGGGGCCGCTGGGGTCCTGGTGGAAAGTGGGAGCGGTGAGCGGGCCTCAGGCATCTGGGCCAGGCCTGTGTTAGCCTGGCCCTGTGGCCTTTCCCATCCGCCCAGTTCAGCACCTTAGTCCAGCGACAGGGGCCTCTGACTTGGAGGCCAGCGCTCACTCCTGGGGGAGCCCTGCTCGCATGCTCTTCCTGCAGCAGCGGTTCCGTTCCGGTCGCCAAGACCCTGTCCGGGACCTTCTGCTGTACTCACCCGTAAGGTTGGCCTGGGGGGTGGTGGCCTCCGGAGGAGAGGCAGTCAGGAGAGTGGGGAGACTCTGTGCCGCCTGGCCCGGCCGCCGAGCGCACCCCCTGTGCACAGTGGGTCGCGGCCCTCACCCCGCAGGCTGTCTGGAACGCGGAGGAGACGCACGTGGAAGCCCCTCGGACAGCCAGGCTCGGAGTCGCCTTCTCCTCTCCCTGCACCGTCAGGAGCCCACGGGGGGGGGCGACTCCCGGCCCACGGTGGCTGCGCCCCGCTGTCCTCAGGAGCCGCTGCGAGAAACCTGGGCTGCGGCCTCGAGTGGATGCCTGTTGCTGGTGTCTGGGGGACAGGCCCTGCCTTTTGTGCCGTCCCTGGAGAGCTGGGGGGCCTGGCGTTTTCTGGGGCTGCTGTGACGTGTTCTGGGGCTGGGGTTCTCTGCTTTCTCTGCCCAGACTCAGCGGTCGGAGAGGGCGGGTGTCAGGGCTCTGTCTCTGCTGGTTGACTGCCGAAGTCGCCTGGTCAGTGCTTTCTTTTATCCGTGGTGTTAGCCGCCAGCCCTGAGCTGTTAGGAGGAGGCCCAGTGAATGGCACAGAGATCCCTCACCTAGAGGAGCGGGAGGGGCACCTTGGTTTCAGCCGGGTCAGCTGAGTGTTGCTACTCTTACAGATTGGATTGTGTGTTCTAGCCACGCAGGGCACGTGAGTGGGACCCTCAAGGAGCTGCGGCAGGTTCTACAGCGTTCAGGCCCCTTCCCCTCGCCTCCCCTGTCCCCAGGGGGCTCCGCCCCGCCCCTGTCCTTGGCCAGCCCTGCCCCTCCATGACAGTCCCACCTGTGGGTGTCTGTACAGGCTGCAGGGACCTGTGTGGTTGGACTCCCTGAAGACCTCGCTGCCCTCCGTGTGCACCGTGGCCGCACCCGCACCTCTCCGCCACGCGGCTGCCTGCGGGCCAGTCGGGAGGGACCGCCCCTTCAGGCGTCCTTACCCAGGGGGTGGTGGGTGGGGGCAGAATGGAAGGGAGAGACCTGGTGCGGGGCTGAGTTGGGAAAAGGCGTTTAGGGAGGAGAGAGAGAGAAGCAGAGAAGGGGTGGGGACTAAGGACTGAGGCGCGGGAGGCAGCCGGCCCCGGGGGCTCACCTGCCCTGGGGTGGTGCCGGGGACACTTGGGGTGCAGGCCCAGACGTGCCCTGAGAGTTACGGGTGAACAGGTAACGTTTAGCGCTGCTGGGATGGGGGCGCTCCTCCCGGGTGCTGAGGACACCGGTGTCTCAGATTCTCACCGGGCGGCTGTCTGCGCTCCTCTGCGGGGCTCCTGCCCCGAGCCCTGGGGGAGGTGCCCGCACGAGGGGGGCGCTCACCTTTGTCAACCCTCCCCTTGTCTCTTTCTGGCCCACAGAGGAATTGCGGAAGTTGAGCTGGTCCGGGATCCCTAAGCCGGTTCGTCCGATTACCTGGAAGCTCCTCTCAGTAAGTGTCTCGTCTGCTTAGTCCCGCTCCCTCCACACCACCACCCGCTGCAGGCACCCATCCCCTCGTCCGTGCTCCTTCGGGGCCCTCGGGGCCTGGGCAGCGCCCAGCCTTGCTGCGGGGACACAGGCCTTTGTCTGGGCCGAGGTGGCATTTCCATCCTCTGCTTCATCTCCAGCCTGGTTTGATGGGGGTGGCGGAAAGGGTAAGCAGTACTCTCCAGCAACTGGGTTCTTTTTCTCTGAGCTCATTGTTTTAAAAAAGCCCTCGTGAGATTGTCAACCCAGGGGCGTGGGGAAGTCCCAGTGTCGGGGACTGTCAGTGACGGGGGCACTTGTTCGAGCGAGTTTGCTTTGTCACGTCGGTCCTGACATCAGGGCAACAGATTGCAGTGAGAACCCATCTGTTTCTGCAATGCGGGGGGCGTCCCACTCCTACCCCGCCCCGGGCAGGGCGGGGTGGCGCTGGCCAGGGCTCACTGCCGGCCGCGGGCGAGGCCCCGCGGAAAGCCCAGCAGTGACGGGCAGCTCTCTGCTCTTCCTCCTGTGTAAATCTCGGAGCCGAGTCAGTACGGAAGTCCGTGTGCTCTAAATCGGGTCTGACTTCAGTTTTTAAAAGACTCTTGCTAACTAGTCTGAATAAATTTGCAGCTTAGTTCCTCGTATCCTCAATGTAGACGCAGTTTCGTGCAGTGAATATTCATCCATTAAATGCTCCCTTGCCATTGGAGTAGGACCTGCTGCCATTGTCGTATTTCTGCTGGTTTCGTGAGTGCTCCCGGCCAGTGCTCCGATGTCCACCCGGGCCCTTGAGAACTTCCCGGGCCGCCCTGTGGGAGGCGCTGCTGAGGGTGTCGGGCGGGCCCTCACTGCAGCTTCATGTTTGTGGGGGGTTCTGCCTCCGGGGGCGGGTCGCGCCGGTCATGGCTCCCATCCTGCTTGCCCTTCCCAGGGATTGACTTGGGGACAGAGGTGCAGAGAGGGAATGCCCCAGGTGCCACCTGGCTGGGTTGACAGGAGGGAGGGTGGCAGTGGGCAGAGGCTGTCACCAGGAGTCCTGGGAGTGTAGGGGACAGTCTGGTGGCCTCAGGTGTGTGTGTTCCTTTCACTGGTCACAGGGACCGGTGGCCAAAAGACAGGGTGACCACGTTCCCGTGGGAGTTATGGAACACGGGCAGGAATTGCGGGTGAGGGGGTGTAGCTGTGCGGAAAGTGGGGAGCAAGGTTGCAGGGAGGGGCAGCTCCTCCTAGGGCCTGGGTAGTGGGTGGGGAGGTGGGCAGTGACCGTTCTGGCGTGGTGGACAGGTGAGTGAACGACGAAGCCTGTTCGTTCTTCCACGGCAGAGGAGGGCACCAGGAAGGGGGTGCGGTTCGGGGGGCGCCCACTCAGGCCAGGCCTCTCGGGGAAGGTGGGCTGCTTGTGTGGCATCTCGAAGGATGTGGCAGGATCATTGCAGGGAGGACATGAAGCCCTGGGGTCAGGCGAGCAGGGGCCCTGGCCGGTGACCACTGGCTGGGGCAGAGACCGGGGAGGCCGGTGCTCAGGGCCTGGGCTGGGCTCCGGCTGCTTCGAGCACGTGCCGGTGGGTGGGACGAGGCTGGTTTCTGCATGAGTGGAACCGGGCCCCTGGGAAGGTCCCTTGGTGGGTCCGCCCATCTGCTCACCCAGTAGGGACTCAGCGCTTCTTCTGTCCCGGGCACCTCTGGGTGCTGGGAGGTGGCAGTGTAGGGAGGGTGGCCCAGTCTCTGCCCCTCACCAGGCCTGCAGGAAGGAGAGGAGTCCCTGCCCAGCCCAGACCTGGGGCCGCAGCCCAGGAGGGGGCCCGCGTACCCTGTGCACTTCCGTTGCTCCTGAGTGTTCTTTGGGCGCCTGTTGCGTGCACCTGCTCCGTGGAGGCTGTGGCCCGGAGTGCAGGGTGTGTGGGCACAGACCGTGGGTCTGGGGTCTTCCTCGCCCAGGGGTGCTGGGCGTGCTGGCTGGCCGTGCAGTGGTGCCTCTTGGGACGGCACTAGACCCGGGAGGGGCGGGTTGAGGCTGCAGGTGTGGGTGTGCCGACCGGCAGGTGGACCAGGAGCCGGTGGGTTCTCTGAATCCGCGCTCAGTCCCGCCTCCCGGGCTCCCCGTGCACTTGGAGAGCGGCCTGCGTGCGTTCGCTCTGCTCGGAGGTGAGGGCCGTGGGGGAGGCGGGCTCTGGGCCCAGGGACCGGGACCCTCTGGGTGGGGGCTGCCGGTCACACACGGGCACGGATGGGCTAAGGGCAGTCTGAGCTGGGGCCCGTCCCTCTGGTCCTGGAGTCGCTGACCCAGCAGCACCCCCGGGCCTCTCCCCTGTGCCCTGGCTGCCCTGCCACAGTCAGCCGGGCAGAGCTCTGTCGTCGTGGGCGGGGAGCACGTGGGGGGCGCTGTCACTCGTCCCTCAGTCAGCAGGTGTGTGTCTAGGGTGTGGCCCTCAGCCAGGCCCCTGCATGTGCTGTGCCACGGGCTGTCCCGGAGCACGGTGCGGGAGGGACCCGCTTCAGGGCCGCAGACGGGCTCTCCCAGCTGGGCACTCCCTGAACCGAGGGTCCGGTGGGTGCCTGCCCCGCTGTCCTGGGCGCTTCAGCAGACTGGAGTCTCGGGTGATCTGCGGTGTCGGAGTTTGTGCTGCTGGCTCTGTGCCATTGCACAGGCTCCACTGGGCCGCTGGGTCGGGCGGGGGTGGGGGCAGCGGACCTGGGCAGCTCCTGGGCGCCCCCTAGATCTGCTTTCCCAGCGGGGTGCGTGTTCACATCTCCCAAGGCCCTGGGCAAACACTGACGCCCCCGCTCCTGCAGGGGACCCGCTGGGGACACAGGCTCCGCGGGCAGGGCACCCACCAGCCGGCGGGGGTGCAGGTCCGAGGGTGTGACTCACTGAGAGCGGCCCCGGGGCTCAGTGGTGGGCCTGGGCACCCTGTCCCGGCCTGTTCTGCTTCCAGGGCCAAGAGCTGCAGTGCCGGACCCAGGACCGCAGAGAGGTCACCATTTGTCTAGTTTACAGGACACACAGCCGAAGCTGTACTTGAACAGGGGGCCCGTTTGAAGACCTGGGCAGCTGGGAACTGTCTTCCCCGGTGTGTTCACGGTCCTCACGCGCACGGCCCGGTGGCCGGGACAGCACTGTGCTCCGTGGACGTGAGGAGTCTGGCCCTCGTCTGCGAGCGCGTCCCTGCACCCGGGTGGCACCGGACCCTGCACCCTCCGCGCCACCAGGCACTGCAGTCCAACGGGCACGGTGCTGACTTCGCCGTCCTTGGTTAGCTCTGTGGGAACGCGAGCAGACGCGAGTCACGTTGAATACCAACGCTGTGCGCGGGACGGTTGGAAGGAGAAGTGACGCTCGGTTCTCACCGTTTCCTGCGCTGGGTTTGCCACGGGGACGCGGAGGGTGGTGGGGGGCGGCTGGGTCCGAGGCTGCGCGGGCAGGACTTGGCCTTTACGATCCGTGTTTGTATAGCCCGCTAATCCGGCAGTTACGCTGCCTGCAGCTCCGTCATTTAGGATTCGCCGCATTCTCGGATGTGTCTCATTTGCATAATTCCCAGTCCTGCTTAATTACCTGCAGGCCTCCACTTGCCTCGCGTTCCCTGCGTGTGCCCCTCGTGGGAGCGGCAGTGCCAGGAGGGTGTGCGGGGGCTCCGTGCCCGGCTCCCTCGGGGCCTGGCTGCCTTGGGGAGTGGCTGTCGCAAGTTCCTTGATGTTTGGGAGGTGCAGAGAGTTTTGTCCTGCCCCCTCGGAGCCCTTGAGCGTCACTGCCCGTGGTTAGTACGGGCGGCTCCACACTTCCCTGGGCCCCCTGGTGCTTGGGGGCGGCCCGCGCGGGCGCCGCAGGCCTGCCTGCCACTCACCTGGGATCTCAGGTCTGGTGCGGAGCGGGCCACACTGTGCCGTCTCTCACAGCCCCCCCTGCATCTGCTCCACCTTTGAAACCAAGTCTGACCCCGACCCAGGTGCCAGCTGCTCACGCTTCCCAGTGTTACCCAGGCCTCTTCCTGCTTCACCCCAGGGCGGTACCCCTCCTCAGACGGTGCAGTGAGCCAGGGCCCGGGAGCCCAGGGCTGGAGGGCCCGCCCTCCCAGTTGTGTGGTCACAGGCCCTCAGGGGCCCCGGGTGAGCTGCCGCGGGAGGGGGACGCTGTGCCCACCGCCAGGGGTCAGGTGGCAGGTTTGGCAGTGGCGGTTGGTGACGTTGGAGCAGGGACTGGGGGAGGGTGGAAGAGGGGTGATACCCCTTGTGCGGGGCGCAGTCCTTCCAGTCTCGGTCAGTCTTTGAAGAGCGAGATTTTGGCTCTAGCGTTTGGTGCCCTGCGGGGCTCTCACCGTGTGGAGGGAGCAGCAGTGAAGGGGACGCGGTGTCACTTCGGTCCTGACTCTGCAGCAGGGCCAATGAGGACGGTGGCTGTGGGCAGGCTGCCTCAGCCCTCGGGCCTGACGGGCCAGCCCTCGGAGGTGCAGGCAGGTCCGTCCGAAGGGGCCAGTTGGGAGCTTGTCAGGCCCTGCGGCTCCCACCGCCTCTGTCAGAGCTGTCAGCTCTGCCCTGGTGGCGTGAAAAACTCCGCACACAGCGGCTGTGCACAGCGGGGTTCCTATGAAACTCTCGGTAGAGCAGCCCGCTGTGGCCGGGGCCCCCCGTGGGCGGTGGGCTCCCACTGGTGGGCCATGGGGCTTTTAACTCATGGGACGCCTGACCCTTGAGTTGGGAGCACTGGCCTTGTGTCCCTTAAACGTCCGGGGGAAAACGACAGCAGCCAGCACAACAGCAGCTGTCGGAGTGAATGAGTCTAAATGGTACCCGTCTTCGTCAGATCAGCAGAAGAACGTGTTTGGTGGGCCCGGAGTTTTAGCGATTAGTTCTCCTGTGCAGAGCGATGGAAAAGGTGGGAAACTGCTGGCGAGAGGAGCGGGTTTCACCCGTCGGAGCCGGGACTTCCTCGGCCGCGTCTGGTGGGAGCGGCCCTGACTCAGGAAGCAGGGGCCGGCGCAGGGAGGCAGGCGGGCCGCGCGGGGCTCCTGCAGTGTGTCCTGGGTGGCGTCGGGCCGTCTGGCCTCGCGCGCACGGGGGCTCCGGCCGAGTGTGGGACAGGAGGCCGGTACGGTCTGTGTCCACCAGCAGGTGCCCGTCCTCAGCGTCCCCGTGTCCGGGTGTGTGCACGTGTGTGTCTCTGTGTGGCTCACAGGGCGGGACTTCTCCCAGGCTCTGTGCACGGAGCCAGGAACCCGAGCAGGGTGGGAGCTCAGGCGAGGGCCCAGGAGGCCCTGCAGCTGGGCGTCCGCTTCGGTCCATGTGTGGGGCCTGGCCTGTCACTGGGTCCCTGAGCCCTCTTCTGGCAGGGGCTCAGGTCAGCCTGCCCCCTTATGGGGTCTAAGGCAGCATGTGTGCCCCGTGTCTGTAGCTTGGGCCGGGGGTGGAGCTGTCCCTTCTCTGTGCTTAGCTGGTGCCGCTGGCCCCCAGGACAAAGAGGAGTCACCTTGGGTGGCCCTTCTACAAGTGCCACGGGCCTTGATTGGGCAGTTGTCACGGTGGTTGTGGTGGGCGCTGTGGTCCCCACACATCGTCTCTGCGGCCGCCTCTGGGTTCCGGCCAGCCCCACTGTGACTGGTGCCCCAGTGCAGGGCAGGGTGGGGGGCCCGGGGAGAAGGCTCCGGGAGCGGCACAGGTGTGCAGCCACGCCCAGCCCTGGGACCCCGGGACCCCGGGGTGGGGGTGGGCTCCACTGTGAGCAACACTCACTTCCCTCGTTTGGCCGGAAGCCAGGGTCCGGGAGACAGCGCCCCGTCTTTCTCAGGAATAGGGCTCCGTCCGATGAGGGCTGGGGTGTGGACTGTGTCAGCTGGCCTGTGGTGACAGTGGGCGGGCCCCTCGACGGCTGCCTGTGGCACCAGTTTGCGCAAGTGTCCCTGGCCGGGCTGAGCCGCCTGCCTGCTGGCAGGTTGCGTGGTGCCGTGTCAGCTGGCAGGTTGCGGTGGGGACTCACGTGTGCCCAGCACGCCTCGGCACCGGCGTTTCACTTGTGGGCGCTGCCCCTCGGGGAGCGGGTGGGTGCCCTGTCATGTCACGGGTGGCAGAGTCCCGCCCTCCTGAGGCTGCCCGTGCTGGGGACGGGGTAAGGCTGGCTGGAACCCAGGTGCGCAGTCCACATGGGCCCATGTGCTGTGGCGGGACCGCGGGCCTGCCCTGCAAGGCTGGGCGGCAGCTCGTTTGTCTGAGTACGTGGCTCCCACGGTCGGGCGGCCTCACAGCCTCACGGCCCCGCTGCTCCACCCTGGTCACGCACAGTGGCTGCACCCGGCTGGCCCCTGCGCAGCAGCGTGGTCAGCGTTCAGAGTGAGGTGCGCGGGGGGAGGAAGCTTTATTAGACGGCCCCTGGGCAGGCCAAGCACGAGCAGTGAGTGACCTGGGCTCTGGTCAGGACAGGGACTTCTCCTGAGACCTGTCAGCGCAGCGGGGAGATGTGTCAGCAGGGAGAGAGGAGCCACGTGGGGGGGGCATGTGTGGCAGGGCCCCCGCGCAGACCGCGAGACGGGTGGCCGCTCCGCGAGGAGAGGGCGGCACCTGTGCAGGCGTCTCCCAGGCGAGGACGCACAGCGACACCCGTTTGTGTTCTGGGACACGCAGGCAGACCTGCTTCTGACAGATGCCACTGCGAACCCGCAGGGTGGCTAAAGTGGGGAAGTTTGACAATGCCAAGTGTTTGCGAGGATGTAGGACAGCAGACACTCTCGGGCACTTGCCACAGGAGCGTTGCTGCTTTGGAACGACCTTTATCAGAGGGGTGTGCACACCTCTCTCAGGTGTGAACTCATCGGAGCGTGCGTCAGGAGCCTTCAGAGGTGGGGACGGACCCTTTGTCGTGAGGACTGCTGGCCGCCCTTGTGGCTGCGATCGGCAGGCTGAGTTTCGTTCGTCCGTGACAGTCACTCCTGTTCTGTGCTACCAGATGAGCCAGCTCTCGGGTGGAGTGCTGAGTTCAGTGAAGTGGCCAGAGAACACGTGTGGTGTCTGCACGGAGTGGGGGGGGGCTCGTCCCGGGGTCTTGCAGAGGTGGACAGGGAGCGTGAGCGCTGCCCGTCAGCCTGACACTGTTGCGGGTCGGGGGACAGCGCGCGCCCCACGGCCCGGCCTGTCTGGGGCCGCGTAAGACGCGCTCGCTCTTCTCCGGGAGGCCCCGTGCGTTAGCTCTGACCACATGTCGCACTGTCCGTGTGTCTCCTCCCCCAGGGCTACCTTCCCGCCAACGTGGACCGCAGACCGGCCACCCTGCAGCGGAAGCGGCGGGAGTACTTCGCCTTTGTGGAGCACTACTACGGCTCCAGGGAGGAGGATGCGCACCGGGACACCTACAGGCAGGTGGGCGCCCTCTGCTCCCGCACGTGGGCCCGGGGCCCGCTGCCCGGGCGGTGGCTCGTAGGAGGACCTGTTTCGTCTCCCTGGTCCCCGGTGGGGCCACAGCCTGCATTTTCTGATAAAAAAAGGAACTTGGAGACATGTAACTGATCTGTAATTCACAGCACGGGGCCTGTTCCCATCACTCCCAGGCCAGGGGCACGGCCGCTTGGTCCCTGGGGGCACCGATGTGAGATAGACCGTGTTGGGGTTCGCCCAGGGGAAGGTCATCTCCCGTGCTCTGGCCGCCCACCTCACTGGCGGGGAGGCAGGGCTGGCTTCGGTGGTGACTGTGTTCCCGATCCCCCCCCATTAGGGGACACTGGGAGCCGTGTCCCCTAATGCCCCCGCATGCTGGCTCCCGGCCCCGGGACAGTGTTCTCACCGAGTGGTCCCACGCCCTCCTTCCGTGCTGCCTGGGCCGCTGGTCTCTAGGCTCCCCTGCGGGAGGACTAGATAAGCCCCCGTTCATTTGAGACACAGCCCCACATTGAAGAACCGGGCGGCGTGTGGGCTCTCGAGTTGCCGACGCACCTGCGTGAGGACGTGCAGGTCCCTCCGGGCCTGGGGGCCGTTTCCTGGGGCGGAGGCCACTGTGGGGTGGTCGTGCGGGGTGTGGGGGCAGGTGCGGTGCCAGCTTAGGCCCCGATGGCTCATCGGCTGCCTCTCGCTTTGCACGTGGCTCCCTCTGCCAGGTGGGGACTTTATTATGATTCTTGTGTCCAACAGAGGTTTTTAAATGCTCCTGTGAGAAGTGCCCTGGGTCCCCCAGAGACTTGGTGGCAGGGAGAAGGTGTGGCCCGGGCTCCAGGAAGAACCTGTCATCGCTGAAAACTCGGGCGCTGCCGATGCATTCCGGCTGCTCCCACATCAGGGGCTGGAAGTCAGCGTTTTCTGCCGGCGTGGATTTGTCCCCGAGCAGCTGAGGGCTGGCCCTGTTCCTGGCTGCATGGCAGCTGCTCAGCGAGCAGTTGGGCCTGGCGGTTGGGCCAGGCCTCAGGCCCCTCAGGGGGCGCGCACGGGCCAGGCTGTGTCTCAGGGAGCAGGTTTGGGCCAGTGTCGGCTCACTGTTGTCGGTGTCGCCGTTTTAATCATAAGGCCCGAGTGACATTTGTCATCTTCTGTCTTTTTCTCTTCCACCTCCAGATCCACATAGACATCCCGCGGATGAATCCGGAAGCATTAATACTTCAACCCAAAGTGACAGAGGTAAGGGCGGGTCCGGAGGTGCCTGCAGGGTGGTGGGTGCCGCTGTCCAGCAAAGTGGCGGGTGCTGTGGAGGCGCTCCGCCCGCTGCCGACAGGGCATCACCGCCGACGGGGCCCTCCCCACGCTTCAGACGGCCCGACCGTGGGGCCGGGGCCTGCAGGCCGTGCGGCTGCAGCGTTGTGGATGCGCAGACGCACTCCCGGCCGCCTGACCCCGGCCGCCCCGTGGGGCTGCTCCGTGTCCCCACCCTCTCTCGGCACCTGCCCCGTCCTGACTTCCGTCTGTGACTCCCCGAGCCCACCGATCCGGTGCGTGCCGTGCGGTGTGTGCCGCGTGGTGCGTGCACGTGACGCAGAGAGAACGATGACCTGGGGCTGCGTCGCCCCTGCTCGGCCTGGTTCCTGCAGGTGGCCGTTTGCTCTCTGCCTTATTTCTCGCCGTTCGGCCGTCTTTCCCGCAGCCTTGCTCCTGCTGCTGCGCCCTGGGGTCTCGTCTGGGGTTTGCTCCAGGGACCAGGCTGCCTGGAGCTCGTGTGGACATTTACGCGTCAGACTGACCAGTGGTTCCCCAGGGCTCTGATGGGGGTGACATCACCGCGGCGCTCGGGCGACATGCCTGCTGGGTGGGAGTCCGGGGTCTGCGCCCACCCCCCTGGGCTCGGAGTCCTGCTGCGGGGCACCTGTGCCAGTTCTTGACGTCCAGCGTGGTCCCCCACAAGTCTCCAGTGGGGGTTCCCGTGCTCATTTCTGTCCTGACAGCGGACGCAGTCACACACCTCATCACGTGCTCCCGGACTCCCTTGGTGGGCCCTGTCTTTGGCCTGTTTGATTGGCCGTTGATCTTCTGTGTTAGGGATTGCACCTTTTTACCGGCTGTGCACGGAGGCAGCTTCTCCTGCCCTGCAGCTGACCTCTCCCTGTCTTTTGGAGGCTCTCAGGGGTCAGAAGTCTTCCCCTGTGCCTCGTTCGCCTTCATCTCTCCTGGCGGGCCGCGGCGGGCCCTGCTCAGAAGTCTCTTCCTGCTCCACCTGAAGGGTTAGCCTTTTGCCCCTCGCCCCGTCTGTGAGCATCAGCGGTGCTGCGGGGGTGCGGCTCAGCTTGCTCCTCTTGTCCGTGACCCAGCGTCACTGGTGGGGGGCATGTCCGGGCCCCACAGGTGTGTGGCTCACCCTTGAGCAGAGCTGGTCTTGTGCTCTCACTTCTCCCTGGTGCTCACCTGACCTTCCCCAAGGCCACGCCCTCTGATCGAGTCCACCTCCCGGGGAGTCTCAAGTCCTCCGCAGGTGTCCACCGCCCACCCCTTCCTCTCCACGGCGGGGGTGTGGTTGCAGGGCTTGGCTGTCCCACGGATGTCGGGGGGTCAGAGGCCCGCGTCTCCCATCTGCTCTTAGGGTCTGTCTGACTCCTGATCCGGTTGCGGGGAGTCTGTCGGTGGGTGTGGGAGAATCAACCTCCGTGTGAACTTTAGTCTCCATTTTCACGGGCACGCTAATTCTCCACTTTAAGGCCACTTTTAACGTCTTTCACTGAAGTGTGAAAATTTGCCCTGGGAGAAGTCTTATATGTTAGGTTTTTTTCTTAGTCATCATATACCTTGTTATCGTTATAAATGGTGTTTCTCTGAAGTTGAAGTTTTCCTGTCTGAAACACCTTTCTGTCTCGGTTGCTCCAGGAAGTGCACTCCCACATGTCGGCATCTCTTGTCTTTGCACTGGTTCCTTATCAGAGCGGAAGCAATTGGCAGGGCCCAAGGAGAAAGCAGGTTTTCTGCAGAGCTGGCAGTTCCGACATAGTCTCCTCGATCGTCCTTTTCCAGGGTCGTGCGTGTCGTGCCTGGGAAATGATCGATGGCCGCTCTTCTCACAGTGGAAAGTAGCGTCTGCCGCCGCTGCTCGGTTTGTTTTTTCGGTTTTCCTAGCGCTGGACACGTTCCTTGCAGAGCTGGCCCCTCGGTCTCAGCGGGGACGGCCACTGGTTCCCGTCAGCGACCTGCTTGTCTGGGATGGCTGGGGACCTCGATCCCACTGGTCGGATGCGCCTGTGTCCTGGCGGCGGGCCCCTGTCCTTTGTGATGGCTCCTCCGCTCCCGTGGCCGCCCTGGGCGCCGCAGCCTGTCCCGGCCACAGCGGGGCAGCCCAGCGCTGACTAGGACAGACATCTGGCGCACGCGCCTGGGGCTCTGCAGCTGGCTGAGCGGGCCAGGGCTGAGTGGGGCGCAGCCTCATGGGGGGACGTGCGGTCGTGAGGAAGGACTGGGAAGAGTGTGGAAACACTGGTCGGGTGTTAGCCAGGAGGCGAAACCAGGGTGTGGTTTCTGCGTGTGGAGGCAGCGTGTGCCTGCACCTGTGATGCCGAGGGCACACCCACGCTGCTGGGTTCACGCGCTTCGGTTTCACCTCCGGTGTGAGCTGAGGCTGTGAACTGGTTGCTCCTCTGCCTGGAGCCTGCCTCGAGGTGCAAGCTAGCTGCGTAGCCCCCTGCATCACGCTTGCATCCCCCTGACAGCGCTGACGAGGCCCGTGGAGAGTGCACGCCTTCCCTTTGGAGCCGGCACCCAGTGGCAGGCACAGAACCAGACGCGAGCTCTGAGTCTGTTGTGCACACAGGTGCACGTCTGACTGTGTACGTGTGCGCAGTTGTGTGAGTGTGTGTGTGGCCTGGGGTGGTGTGCCCCAGGGCGGACCCCCTGTCTGACAAGGTGGGGGCGGGTGGGAGTGATGGCACAGAGGCCGGGCGGGGGGGCGCTGCAGGGGAGAGGGGCGGCTGCCGGTGGAGGTGCGCCCCCGTCGCTGGCCGAATGGTGAGTGGTGGGGGGACCTGTGTGAAGGGCAGGTGCCTGAGGGGTCTCCCTGGACGGTGGTGACCTTCTCGTGACTCAAAAGTGCCTGGGGCTCAGAGACACCGAGACGGACTGGCGGCTGTGGGGCGTGGGGGGCGGGGGTGGGGAAGGGGTCGCGATGAAGTCAGCTGTCCTGGGGCGTGCCGCGCGGCAGGACCGCTGCAGGTGACCACGCCGTAGTGAAAGTGCCATCACTAGCAAACCAGGTGTGACTCTGAGGACGGGGCTGCCCAGCGTCAGTCACGGTGGAGGGGGCCGTGTCATGTGCAGAGGTGGTGACGTGACCTCGTGTCAGTTCTGCCCCCGTTCAGCAAGTTCGTCTGCCTGACGAGGGGGCTCAGGGCCCGCGTGCGTGCGTGTGTTCAGCCGCCATCCGTCTCCTCACCACCCACCCCTCACCCCCCCACCCCGCCTGTGCACCCCCCCTTTCTTTCAGCCCAGTGTCCACCTGCCCCTTCTTGTCCTCTGCTGACCCCTCCGTCTCTGTGCCCCTCAGGAGCTGCTCGCGGGCGGACCGGGGCCCGGGGCCAGGGCGGGGGTGTCTGTGGGGGCCTGCACGGGCGATGGGGCTGAGCCCCGCAGTGGGTAGATGTTGCACTTGCTTGTGGGTCAGTAAGAAGTAGGATTGTTAGAACTTTAAGAAGTTGAAATGGCAGTGGATCCTGTGTGTTTTAACGTCGGCAGCAGGGAAGAGCCCACCGTGTCTGCTTTAAGTAGAGGAAGGCATTTGGGGTCCCCGTGAGCCTGCTCTGACTTTAGCCTGTGTTTGTCCCTGCAGATTTTTGAGCGGATACTGTTCATATGGGCCATACGCCACCCTGCCAGCGGGTACGTGCAGGGCATCAACGACCTGGTCACCCCCTTCTTCGTGGTCTTCGTCTGTGAACACACAGGTAAGGCCCCCCCGGGTGCGCCCCTTGCAGGCAGCAGCCTCGTGCCGGAGAGTCGTCAGGGGGTCTGCCGTCGTCGGTGACAGCCGGTCACAGCAAACAGCGGTTTTCTGTGGGTGCCAGCTGCAGAAGCCTCTTTGCCGTGCGCCTGACTGTGGGGGTCCCGGGGGGCAGCGTGTGACTGCGGGGGTCATGGGGGCTGGTATGTGCCTGACTGTGGGGGTCCCGGGGGGCAGCGTGTGACTGACTGTGGGGGTCCCGGGGGGCAACGTGTGCTGTTAACACCTGTCCTCAGCAGTACCCAAGAAGACATGTGCCACACCCGGGTGACTTTTGAACTGGGCGACCCGACCTCCGGCCCCCAGGGCCGTGAGTGCTGTGTCTGGCGGGTGCTGTGCGTACCGGCGGAGGCCGGAACCTTCTTGACCGCGTCTCTGCGTCATTCCGCCGTCTCTGCCTGGGGCACGCTGCGGCGTCCAGTTTTCGGGAGGGTCCAGTGCGTGCAGAGGGCCGTGTCTGCTGGGGGTTCCGGGGGGGCCGTGCTGCTGCCGTTCACTCCTGCACGGGCTTCCTCCCACCTGTGTCGGGTCGGCCCGCCGTCACCCAGCGTTCCCCGTGTTGGGCGGGGTCACGCTCCATAAACCCCGATAGTGCCGTCAGGGCTCCGCTGCCCACTGCACTGGCGAACAGGACAGCGGCGAGGCGGGCCTCCCCGCCCCGGCTGCAGTATTTCCACGTGCAGCCGCCCGGAACCGGACCCGTGAACCTGCCACCATGGTGCGTGCTGGCGTCCCAGCGTGACTGCAGCCTGCGCCCCAGGCTGGGAGACCCGGCGTCCCGGGCGAGGACGGTCCTCTCGGAGGATGGGAGCCTGTCAGTGCGGCGTGTTTGTTGCCGCCCCCGCCACGCCCTGTCTTTGCCCACAGTGCCGCGGCAGGTCTCCTCCTCACCGAGCCACTCAGGAGGCCTGTGGCTCCCCCCAGCGCCCTGAGCCGCACTAGGCCGCTCCAAGGGCTTGGCCTGCCCGCGTCCTCCCCTCACCGATGGCTGGTGGAGACGCGCTGGCCACCCCGGGGCCACGGGCCCTGGTCAGCAGACTTCAGAGTCCTTGGCTGGCAGGAGGTCAGCTGACAGGCGATTAGAGAGTTGACGGCCCGTGTTAGACATTTAATCAACGTGGCAAACGGGTTTGTCAGCTGCTTTGCCGCCGTCCTGCGTGGCACGGCCCCGGGCCGCCCTGAAGGTGTGAACCCGGGTCAGCAGCAGGGCGGGACTGAGGGACCGGGGACGTGGTGGGGACTGTTCGGAGGGAGACCAGCAGAGAGGGTGGAGCTCAGCAGGGCCTGGGGCTCAGACCGCGGGTGGCCTGGGGGCCGCAGCTGGGCATTGGGGCTGGGGGGCTGGCTCCAGAGGGCGAGGCCTGGCGCCCCGTCCTGCATAGCCTGTTGCGGGGGCCGTGAGGTGTGAATTCCTTGGCCCAGGTCCTGACGGTGGCCGTCCCGCCTGCTGGGGAGCAGGCAGACGCGTCGATCGTCCAGCCACTGCTGAGGTGTGTCCCTGAGCACCCCAGGCGCGGACCAGGCTGTGTCCTCCCAGTTGCACCCGGCCCGTGTGGGTTTCAGAGGCAGGACAAAAGGGGTCACAGGAGTCAACTGTGGGGACAGTTTTAGGGATGGAGGGGTTAGTCGTGTCCAGTGTTCGGTGGCCAAACCTCCGGAGTCCGACTTCCAGAGTGATCTTGGTCCGCAGAGGGGCCATTTGCCCAGTCTCTGTCTTCGTCCCTGCTTCCTGCGCCCGTGGGGCCGCGGACCAGCTGGGAGAGGACTAGCCCCAGGCGTCCGCTGAGGGGAAGGGAGGGTGCTGGGGCGGCCGGGGGGGCCCGCGCGCCTTGCGCTTTGTGCCCAGGAAGTCAGCTTGCGCCCCAGTGGAACCGGGCCCCTGGGGGTCTCTGGGTTTGCCGTCCATTCAGACGCCACGGCTTTCCAACGCTTTCCCTGGGAATACTTAGCCTTGTGCGGGGTTGGGGGGGCCTGGCCAACCCCCCTCCCGCACCCCCACACTCTGCTCCCCACACTTGCCCCCCCGAGGGAGGGGTTCCTGGTCGGCGTCTGGCATCTGCCGGGCTCCATCTCGGCCCGCGGTTCGGGTGTCTGTGTGCGGTGGGCCCTCTCCCTGCCTCCTGCCCGAGCCCCAGCCTCTGAGCCTGCTGAGCCTGGTCTCCCGGCTGCCGGTCGGGAAGCGGAGTCGGTCCCGTTTCCTCTGTCCAGGCTCTGCTGGGCATGTGGGCCCTGCGTCAGGGCCTGGGCTGCGGGGGGGCGGGGGGGGGCGGGGGGGGGCGCCTCCCGCCTGCAGCCTGTGCTGCGTCTTCCAGCCTGTCGCCCGGCCTGGGCCGCGGTTCCTGCCGTGCGCAGCCGAGTCGGGCGAGCCCCGGGCCCTCCCTCTGAGTCTTTCCCGGCAGGCGCCCCCCTGGCCTGGCTGCGCCGCGCTCCCGTGTTGTGAAGAAGGCTCCGTGAGGCCACCCCGCTTCTTGCACGGAGCGGCCCCCTGTTGCCGGGTTTCCTCAGGCCCCCGCCCGCCAGGCCTGGTGCGGTTTGTGAGGACGGCCCCTGTTCTTCAGACGGGGGCTCTCACACTCCCGAGCAAACCGTGTCGCCCTTGGCTTGGAATTCAGGACCAGTGTTCTGTCCTCTGGAATCGCACAGTCTAGGCGGAGAATTATGTTTTAGTTTTGCCATGTATTTTCTCATAGTAGAAAATGAAGTGTGTGGTGGGGGTAGAAATGGGAGGGAGGCGGGGGGCTGCAGGGGGTGGGCTGGGGTGGGAGTAAATGGCAGAAAACTGTACTTGAACAACAATTAAAATTTGAAAGAATATTAAAAAAAGAAAAACAAAACAAAACAAAAAATGAAGAAGCACCTCCCCGTCTTCATTTAGGTTTAGGCTGGATTCTAAGCAGCACTCGGGACCACGGCTCTGGGCTTCCGCGTGTGGGTGGGGCCTGGGGAGGTGAGGGGTGATTCTCATCATGGCGTGTGTGAGCTCCGATAGATTGGATTTTACGGGTCATTTTCTCCTAATATAATTACTCTCAAAGTCCGATACGGAAAGAATCTGAGATAAACAACGCACGTACTCACGGACCTGACTGTCTACTTGTATATTCTTGGTTATGAGTCAGAACTTCAAAAGTGTGGGTGTTTTTAACCACGTTAGTTTTGTCCAGAGAAGTCATTTCACCATCCCGGTCACAGAGGCTGGGGTGGTTGGCAAGGCAAATAGCTTGGGTGGGGATGAAGCCGGGAGCCTGAGTTGGCCCTGGGACCCGCTCCGTCTGCAGGGTGCAAGGTGTGAGAGGGGGGGTAAGAGCTGGGGCTGGTTTCTCGTGACTGTGTGCGGTGAGAGAGGCTGTCCCGCCGATGCTCGTTTGCGCCTGTGGCACGTCGATCGGTCCACGTGGTACAGGGACCGTGGCTCTGCAAAGCACATCTGCTGTGTGGCTCCCTCCGGTGTCCCTCTGCCCTCGGGCACTGGTGTCCCCGGTCAGTCGCAGAAGCACTTCAGGCAGAAACCAGAGCACCGAGTACAGAGGTTTGTGTGGCAGTCCTGGCTCCACGTGGGGGAGGTGGGCGTGGGGGCTGGGCGGTGCTGGCAGATCAGCGCTGCAGGGGGGTCTGCTGGCGGCAGCCCCAAGTGCCCGTGAGGTGCCCTGTGCTCGCAGAGCCGTGGCTCGGAGGTCGTCCTACGGTCTGTCTAAAAACCTGCTGGTGCCGATCAGAGGAGCAGACTCACCGCTAAAAATGGAATCCCGTGCGGTGCAGGTGCAGGGCCAGGGCTGCTGCTGGAACGTCCTGCCGAGCCGTCAGTGCTCTTCTCCACACGGCAGTGGTCGCATTACGCACGCGCAGTTCACAGTTACTGCTTTTTCGTAGTAAGCAAGCGTTTTCCGAAGTCGTTAAACATTAAACATGGTTTCTTTTTGAAAAGTAGTAACACACAACCTCCAGTAAGAGGCAGGAGAACTGGACAGAAGGTGGACCAGGAGCTGCGAGGGAGGCTGAGCAGAGTGGACACCAGCTGGACCTCCGGGCCGTCTGCAGAGCACCGCACTACACGGCAGCGGGGCACACGTCTGCGCACACGTGTGGCCCACAGAGCAGGCCTGCGCACGTTGGAGCAGCGGGGGGGGTACATGAAGCATGTTCTGTGACCGCAGTGACATCAGGTCCGATGTCAGGGGCAGGAGGGGAGGCGAGGGTGTCCATAAGCCCGTGCAGATGGCAGACTACAGCCACAGGAAGTGTCGTGTCAGAGGAGAACGTCAGGGGCAGCTGGAAATCACTTTGGGATGGATGAAAACAAACACAGCCAACCCAGACTCCTGGGCGGGGCCAGAGCCGGGCCTCTGGGGAGACCTGCAGCTGCGAGTGTCTGTGTGATGAGAAAGGCTCAGACTGTCCACACTGCAACGGCAGCCCCGTGCGGCGCGGCCCGGCTCTGCCCCACACCGGACGGGCCCTCCCGGGCATTCGGCGGAAGGAAGCCCAGGCCCAGCGTGGGAACGAGTCAGACTGCCTGTGTCTGCAGATGGTGTGACCTGAGCCCAGAAAGCCCAGAGGGCTCCCCTAGGAAGCCACAAAGCCCCACGCAAGATCGGGACACAAAAATCGGTCGGGTTTCTGTACTCTTGCAACATGTGATACAAAAACGAAATGGTAAAAATAGTTCCTCTTACAGTAAAGCAGGTACAAATTCAGCAAAAAACTGTAAGATTTGTATTCCGAAACCCAAAAAGCCTTGTTGGAGTGGATTAAAGGAGATCTCAGTGAGGAGGGCCCGGTGTCCGTGCGTCGGGAGGAGCCGTGGCGTGCCGGTGGCGGCCTCCCCCAGCTGCCTGAGGACGCGCTGCAGCCCCGGGCAGAGCGGTGGCGGGCTCTGTGGCAGAAGTGGACCCATCTGCCTGCCAACGTGCACGGAAGTTCAAGGGCTCCAGGCTGAAGAGCCGT